AGCGCCATGTTGGAGAAGAGATGAATTTGTCCATTGTTGAGTTTGTAGCTTCTTGTATAATGTACAATACCCATTATGAATAGTTCGTACCACTTTTTAAAGTTTCTGCGTGCTGCCGAACAACAGCTACTTTACGTTACTAAATTCATATACTCCTGGAAAGTAATTTTAGACGTCATTTTTAATATAAATACTAATATTACTCTACTTATTACGGATTTCGTTTAGTTTATTCATATACAGCAACGCGATACATGAGCGATCTGCCAAAAGTGTTGCTCCCAGGAAGACGTTCTAACAGAAATAGGCTACTACCTACGTGTTACTAACCTCAAGAAAACCCGAAAAACTGCATCTAGTAACCCCTGACTTGTGTTCAGTGGTTTTATCCACTCGATCACCGGTGGTGTATTCATGCCATTTTCAAATATTTATTGTAGTTCTTTTAATTTAAAAATATTCCATTCACCTCTCAAAAACGTTTTTCAGCATTGACTTTGTATAATTCTTTTAACATATAGACATTAGTGATGATGTGTAATTGACCTTAATATTAATTTTATAAATATTTACTTACTTCTACTAAAGTACTTTTAATTTCTGCTAATATACTGCCCGTTGTTCTGAATCATTAATTAAAATTCATATTTACGAAGCGAATAGAATTTTAATTTTCTCGACGTTCACACAACACGGGGGAAGATCGATCAAAAATGAACACCCTCAAAAAATCTTACATTTTTAAACTCAAGGAATTTTAAACGTCAAAAAATGTACAAAAAGTTTTCGAACTATACATCACAAAGCAGGACACTTATTAACACCGTACTCACTGAAGGGATTCACTGGAAGGACTCTAATGAATAACAAGATCATTCACAGAGCTTTCAGAGACTTTACTGATAGCATCACTGTGCTGGACTAATATGCCTTTGTCATGCCTCCTTTCCCGTGCCTTTCTTGGACTCAATCTGTCACACATGCCATACTGCATCTATAACTGTGCCTTTTATGTTCAACACTGTTCAGCATGTAATTCCCATCTGTATTATACTGTACTACATAAACATGTGTATGTTCTGCTAACCGTGTCCTGCTTTATAAATATTTGCTTCAGTGTATTTCTTTTGGTACTTTTCAGCATGTATCACCTATCTGTATTAGTATTGTATTGCCTTTTCAACTGTATATGTTATGGCAACTGGGTATTGCTCTCTCTAAAGTTAGAGTAGTGCAATTTTTTTTCGATTTACCCTTACACGCTTGCATTATGTACAATACATTCCATTTTAAGAACGAGACTGTTTTCTACTTTTCGCATATAACCATTGTTTGGTATTACAAATTGGTATATTGTACTGTTTGTCATCCTGTCGGATACTACATCGTTTTTTCAAGGCATTGTTTGTATAGACAACTATTCAACACCCGTCTTGCTTTGTTTTTAACACCAAGCTTTTGTAAATAATATACTGTATCTCCTACTTCGCTTCACTAATACCTTTGTACTTCACTCGTAATATCATTTAACTTTATTTGTATTATGTTTCTTTATTATAAATGCGACACAGACGCTTTTATAATAACTTTCCCCTTCCTTCTTAACCCTTGAACATTACATCTTTTTCCGCTTCAACAATACCTGGGCTATACCTATGAAAGTGGCCCTTTAACCTTTCTAATAATGTATACTTTCAACCTTTCTAATAATTAATATTTATATTTAAATAAGTCTAGAGTTTTAAAGGTTAAAGAAAGTGTTAAGTATATCTTCTCTAAGACTTATTTGTTTTAAATTGAAGAAATTTACAATCCTTTAAATTATATTTATTAATTTTTTAATATTCTAATGTAAAGTCAAAAATTTCAAAATTCAATTGTGGATTAAATAAAAATATTTTAGAACTTATTTAATTTTAAATTATTTTAAATCGAAATTTTAAATAGTAGGTCGTCCACGTGTAAGTAACAGGTGTACGTTAATAACCGCTTTTACATATTTACGCGTTACACCTACTTTGCATCGTTAAAACTCATTCCGTTTAATTATTCGAATAAATGCAATTTTTAATATTTAAATTATATTATTAAAACATTAATTAAGCCAGAAATATCAATATAAATTAATTTTTTCTTTAATAATTTTATTACTGAATACTTATAATAACTAATTTTCATTCGCATTATTATTGACTATGATAATGACAATATAAGAAATGCAGAGTGTGTGCATTTCTTATATTATGTGGTATTGTTAGTAAGTGTGCGGAGGTCCACTGAGCGACGATTGAAAAAGAGGCATTCCAAATTATCTGGAGGTCAGCTGCAGTGAGTCACCTTGACCAAACTGAGTTAGGCGGGCCAACCGAGACCAACCCAAAAGAAAGCTACCGACTTAGCGCTGAATTTGATGGCCGAGAAGTCTACAAATTGAAATAAAGGGTACTTGAATGGGGGAGAAGTGAGAAAAAAGAAAGGAAAACAGGAAGATTATGTTGAATCGTAGCCATGCTGTAAATAATTGTGGAATAAACGGACATGGTCTAAGATAAAACGGGTTATAAGATGATTTTTCTTACGATCCCCAAATTCGAGATCGGGACGGCCAATCAGAAAATCACTATTAACTATTTATTAACTATTATGATATTTATTAAATTTAAAATTTGAGAAATTTACAATTTCAAATTATATTTCTTAACTTTTTAATTCAATTGTGGATTAAATAAAATTATTTTAGACTGATTTTATTTTAAATTATTTAAATTCGAAATTTTTAATTCTAGGTCGTCCACGTGTAATTAACAGGTGTTCGTAAACAACAACTTTTACAATTTCCGAGTTAAACTCACTTGTTATCACTTTTAGTTATTCGAATTAATGCAATTTTTAATATTTAAAATATATTATTAAAATAAAAATTAGGCTCGAAATATCAATATAAATTCATTTTCTTATAAATACTTTTAGTACTAAATAAAAGTAATAATTTTTTTTCGTATACGTTTGATATTTTTAAAATATACATAAGTTTATATCACATTCTATATATTTATAGCTTATAAAATATATTTATACATTTGATTAAATTGCCACGACTATGATTGTAAAATTAATACATTTTAAGACTATATAATAGCGATTCATTCAATGTCCTTTCTCACACTTCAGGAAACATTCTTATGACGGAGTTGACCTTTTATGAGAAGTTGCTCATCCACCTCACTATGTCAAAGGTTACAGAACTTCCTGTAATAGTGAGGCGGATGAGCAGCCTCTAATAAAAAGTGACTTTGTTGTAAGACTGTTTCTTGAGGTGTTGAGAAAGGACATTGAATAAATCGCTATTGTATAGTCTTAAAATGTATTATATTTACACACTTAAATGTATTTTTCAATATATTGCACGTTTCGAAAGTATTCGACATGGTCGTACTTATAATCTTACTTAAATGGCTATTAATTTTATTAAATATTAAAGTACTTGTATTTAAAGCTTCCGAACAACTGCAATATTTACATTATCTAAATTAAAGTATATAATTTTTTAATGAAAATTACTTAAATATAATATTTTATCTTAATTTACGAAAGATAATTGTTAATTACCTTTGCAGGAAGCCGCTTTGTCGATGACGTGGCATAAAACAATCGTCCCAGATGTTTCCATTATTTTTCTACGTTCATTTACTAAACAAATTTTGTGGATAAATAGTTCAGATATTAAAACTTGAACCTTATTTTGCACTCTAAACCCTTATTAAGAGTCGAAATATCTCTTTCTCAATAGCGGCTTGAAGTATTATCTGTGTTGTAGCTATAAAAAGTGACAGAGAATAAAGAATTATAGTAGATTTGCTTAACTTATTCTTATAAATTTAAATACATGTACTCTGTTTTCGTATACAATTGAAAGATAAATATAATTTTTCTTAATATATACATTTATAATAACTTTGTAATGGATAATTATGTCGATTTTAATTTTTATTAGTTTTTAATATTTTATTATTGTACTTAATAAAAAAAAGGAAAAGTTAACGTTTACTTCTGTCATATTTTCTAGTTATACCGACGAGATATTTTACTTTTAAATTACTTATAATTAATGTTATAATATTATTTAATAATGTCCAGCTATTATAATTAACATCTATTTTCGGTTTGCCAAACAGGGAAGAATGATGAAAAATATATAAATTAAATAAATAATTATAAGCCCCACTTTAATAGAGTAAAATAAAATGAACCTCAAAATGGTTAGTCCTATTTAATATTTCTAGACTTTCTGAATAGAAATTAAACAAGTTAGGAGAAATTATTTACTTTGATATGGTCATAATGCTGGGCTGCAATTCTTAAACATATTTTGAATTTATTTCATTTAAAATATACGCTTTCCACCTCAACTTACTAGTTGCTTGCCCCTGTACATCATACTTTCCCTTCAAGATTTCAGTCCTGCTGGTTATCTATTAACACCTTTCAGGAGGAAATATTTTGATTAAATTAATTAAACTTGCAATTTGCAATAAAAGTTTCTTGTCTTCGCAAACCTTAAAACAATTTTTGCATGTTAGAAGAGAAATTAAAATGATTGACAACAAAGTTTTCGTCTTAATTATAATAAATTTGAAGATTTTTCAAGTACAAATTCCATTTGTTCTTTACATAAACTTAAAGAAATATTTTATATAAACCTTTATTTAAAACTCTTTTATAACGAATCTAATTTAAATTAAGTAAATATAAAAAATAATTATAATGCTAATTAAACGAACTTGTGATAATTCTGATTTCCGATGTAAACGATATTTTCGCGGAGATCCGTAAAACAAAACCACCGGATACGAAATGAAACGAGAAAGGGAGGGCAAAATCTACGTAAATTAAATGAAGTAATTTCATTGGATTCAAAATTCAAAATACCATCTGCAATGTCAAAATTTTGGATTGACAGGTAGGAGGAGAAATAGCGCTGAATTCACGCAATTCTACGCAGAATTTTCCTATAAAAAGGCATTGAAGATTGCCGTTAAAGCACATTTCGGCGATCAACAAACCGAAAGCAACATGAAAACCATTCTCATTCTACTGGCCCTTGTTGGTAAGTTAAGTATTTTCTATAATCTTTAAATTTCTAAATTGATAATTGACTGCAATTTGAAAAAAAATTGTAGACCTATAAATTTCCGCTGTCGTCCGTCCGTTCGTTTTTCCTTAATCTCGGCAATAGAGTTAGATAGATGAAATCCGAGACCGGAATTAAAAACGCGAGGAGACAGGAGGACCCGATTAATTATAAACGAACTGACGTCACTTTATTTCGATTTAAAACTATCTCCTGTAAGGTGTTAGATAGATGACTGGTATTTCCAATGTTAAGGAAAAAGTATGATGTACAGGGGCAAGACAGTGCAAATTTTAGATCGAGAGCATATATTTTAAACTAAATCAATTAAAAATATGATTTAATATTTAATTTTCAATGCTTAAACTTATATATACACATATATATTCTTGTGATCTTTCGTTATATTTCAATTTAAATTTTACAGATAATACTTTTTAAAAACAAGCAAAATTATTAAAATTATATTACTTATAATTCTAAATGTGTTGTTAAGTTTTTAATTAATATTATGCCAATTAACTTAATTCGACATAAATCAATATTAATGAAAGATTATTTATTTTGTTAGGAATTGCTGTGGTATCAAACAGCAAAGCATCTAAGAAAGAAATAAAGAAAGATGTTTCATTTGATAATGGCGAAGAAAAGTTTGTCGATGGTGTAAGGGGTAAAGAAAATGAGAAGGACGAACACAATATTAAACAGGAGTCAAATCGAATCAGTAGCATGATGGGAACTGTTACAAATGTGATATCAGGAGGAATGCCAACTTCAGGAGCTATGCCAACTTCAGGAGCTGTCAGTCTTTCCGGATTATTGTTTGATGTAGTGAAGGACTTGGATATTAGAAAATTTTTAAATTGTACCTATCTCAAGGTAAGTTTTGTATATTTTTTTATTTTAATTCAATTTTCTAAATAATCATGAATTAATATCTATAAAAACAATCATTATTTTTTTTTTCAGCTTCGAGCTGATATAGACGGATGCTATAAAAATCTTACAGTTCTTGGTATCACCATTAGTGACGTAGACTATTCTGTAGATCACGCCTTAGGTGACAAACTTCGTCTCGAAGACAGATGCGATGAGTGTAGTTCTTATTCTGACGATTTGCAATCTCAAATGTCACAGATGAATCAGCTCTGCCCTCTTCTCAATAATGTTACAAATTTTTTGGGATGTGTGGTGACAGAGCTATCAAAGTACGATTGCATCGATTACATTGGCCGATGTATTAGGGTACTTCTGAATAACACCGGTACATATCTTTACAATTTGACTAATTCTAACGATTACACATGTGAAAATTTATTAAACGATACTTTAAAAAATCTTAAGAGCGTTATAACTTTATAGTAAGTAGTCTAAATGCTTGAGGAGAAAGCAGAAACGCGTTCTGTCTAGTAGCATAATAAATGCAAACATAATCAACAAATGCTAAAAAGAATATTCTGATAATTAATTAATACAAAATATTAAATATCTAATCTAATTTTAAATCGATTTCCTCATTGTTATATAATTAAACAATGTAAGATTAATTTAAGGGATTTAAGAAATTAAAGGTATTAACATGCAACCTTGTTTCTTATTGTGTATTTTTTTAAAATTACGTTAATTTGTCATAATGTTTAAGGCCGATTGTAATGGTTTTAGTAATACACGCGTTGCCTAGTAGATGACGTTAGAAGTTTAATGACACTTTTTTGTATTAAAATCTCGGTTAATATTTCTCTTAAGATACGGTTTAGAACTTTTAAACTCGAATGAAATAATTTTCTTCGAATTTGCTACAACTTTTATAATTAGCAAGTAGCAAAATATGGCGGACTTCACTTTAAAATTACAGTTTCTCACTTTATCTATTAATAAAGAAGTGCTTTCTTTAAACTAGAGTTATATTTAATTTATAATAAATCTTCCAAGTATGTGGAATTCTCCTGGATTCTCCACATCTGAAAGACTTTCGCCCAAACGATTTCAATCTTCCTCAAGATTGTCTTTGTCCTTCATATTCCCTCCATCTGACGACATTGATAAAGAAGAGAAAAAAGTGTCAAACTCCATAAATAATTTCGGAACTCCACAGAAGCATTGACAACTTTTCAGATAATTTTACCTTTTTCTTGCTCTTCCTTGCTTTCCCAGAATTTTGTCTTCGAGGATAGTTTCTATGAAATTATTGTGCGTAATAATATCACGTATAAATTTAATTTACGTATTCCGTATTAACTTTGCTCTGGTACTTCCCTCCTAATTGTTTCATTTGGTTGGTCCATTTTCTATTATTTATTCCTTTTCATATCCACCTTCTGCAAGTCATCTCCTTCTTATCTATTGTTCAGCATTCACTTCCACCAAGCAAAATCTCCAGAGAAATGTCTTAGTATATGATTTCTTTCCTTCTGTACTTCCGTATTGGTGGATTCTTCTGCCTGCTTCTTGCCTGTGTTGGTGTGCTTTTTGCTGTGGTCTACTTTTCTGTTTCTTGGGCTCTATTCAGTGTTTTTTCCTGCTGTTTTCTATCATTTTAGTTAGTATTGGTGTTACCGCTTAGATTTTAAGTCAGTCTCTCGTTTTCAATAGGCTAGATTTTTCATTTCCACGTGTTTTTTTTTTTTTATCTGGTTGACTTAGTTAACTCAGTTTCTGTTTTGGCGTTCCCAGGCAGAAACAGTTAGTTTCTTTGATTTAATTAATTTAATTTCACTCCTTTATAACTTCCACTCGATTGCTTTGTTTTTGCTGATAAATTTTCAGTTATTAGGATGTTTTTAGGTAATTAGTCTTGTCGTAGTCTTGTCTAACTTATGTAGTTTTTCTTTTATACTTAATTAGGTCTTCCGGTGTTTAGTTTTAATAAAGATTTTGGTTTTTATCAGTCAACTAGTTTTTGAGTTTTTCCGATTTTCTGGTTTTACTGCATTCCAGTATTTTTGATTTTCAGGTTTTTCTGAGATGTTCTTCAGCCTTTTCGGTTGTAAGTTCGGTTGTATGCTATCCTAGCAAAGCCTACGGTTAGGTTTTGCTAGGATACAGTTTCAACTGGCTAGCCGGTTTCATAACTTTTTCGTTGTTAGTTATTATTTTGTCTTTTTCGTGGTTTCTGTTTTTTGTAGTTAGTTTTCCCTTTGTAATTTATTCTTTTATTAGGTGCTTTGTTCCCGCTGTTAGTTTCGTTTTTCTAGGCCATCCCATTTTCGTGGTTATCGGTTTTTCGGTTATATTGTTTTGTAGTATTTTGGTTTTCACTTCTGTTCTTTTCCTTGGTTTAAGTTATCAGTTTAAGGTAGTTTAAGTAATATAAGGATCTTTCTAGATGGCGTGTTTATCTAGTTCTGAAAACACAGGCAGGGAGCCCATGCTGAGATGTCTCGTCCATCCGCAGGAAACTTAGGGAACTCCTGGACGTTGTTCTGGTTAACTGTCCAGAAAAATGCAGCTCTGCTGTTCACAAAGAACTCAGAATCAAAATTCGTGAAGCTGATAACGATCTGTTTTATTGGCAAGACTATCTGTGCATTGGCTCAATGTCTTAGTAATGATATCGACATATTGAACAGTTTAATCATTGAAGCAGTATCAAAATCTTTAGCACATAGTGTTAATCGCATTCAACAAGACGTTTCAAAGAAGGTCAGATTAGTAATAGATGGCAAAGTAAATAAAATCGTGGACACTGCACAAACCACTATTCCTACAAGTTTACCGACCTCCTCTTACGCTGGAGTCGTTGCTAGGTGTGAGATCCGCAAATTTCCATATTTGTCGGAATTTTGAATTTGTCCAGGAATTATAAATAAATTTAACAGCAAAACAATCCTGCTAAGAATTAGAGCAGAGGTTACTTTTAGTCATAACAACCCGATAGGAAAATTGACTCATAAGTATCAACTTGGCACCGTAACCATCAACATTGGACAAATACGTGACCCCCTTTCTCATGACAAGATGAAAAAAGAGAGTCACCGGAAGCACGGGGGAAGCGATTAATCAGGACGTTAATTTTGTAGTTGTGTGTATTCCATCTCACAGACCTCCATAATCCGGACTGGATCCAAGAAGAGCAGAAGACACCGTTTGGAAACCCATTCATGACAAAAACCTGTCTATACGAATGAAGTCTCTTTATGTATTATAATGTATTTGTGACGAAACTAAACTTTCATACATTTTGTTAATGCAGTTTATATAACATATTATTGTTTTGTTGTTGTTTTTTGCTCTTTTCACCCTGTGGACACCAAGAGGCTGTAAACGGCTCACGTATTTGTAAAATCTAAGTGACTCGTACAACATGGAATACATATAAAACGGAAAAATCAACAGTGTTATAGGGGGGTCGACTGTAGTTAGATATAGGTTTTTTAAATGAATATTCAAAACAAATTTCGCTAGATTTCTTCCGATAAACCAGGGGAGCGCACCCATTCTACTTGATCTACGGCGCTGAATATGTAGCTATGCCACTGGTAGTGTAAATTTGTATTTTTTGTTTTCTGCAACCGGGACAGCATTACTCATCAGCGTATCCACCCGTGACTGGAGACATATCTTCTAAATAGCCTCATATCAATATCATTCTTCGATCTCTGTAACTGTATAATAACTCTTGAAATAGTACCAGAGCCATCGTATCTAGATAAAAATCATTTTCGAAATAGTTTTTATGTAAATAAAGTAGTTGTAGATTTTATTCTAACAACGCTAAATATAAATAAATTATAACTCCACAATGAAGCAATTAAACTTTGAGATATAATTCATATATATTCGAGAAATTTTTATAATCATTTTATTGATATTATATTACTAGCAGATGAGCCTGGCTTTGCTTCGGCAAAAATTAACACCAAAATTTAAATTTATTAGATTATTTCGTACTTCTAACCCTATAATATAATGAAATATTAAAGTACAGTAGAGCGTCGTTTATCCGAAAGCTGGTTATCCGAAACGTCCGTTATCCGAAAGCATTCCAGTCGGCAAATTTAAATTTTCGCTAGTGATATGACGATGCAATCTTCGGCTATTTCTCGGGCTACTCAAATGTTTTACGTTTTTGATACTAAATTAACATCTGAAGTATAATTTTTTATTGTTTTTATATTTTTCAATATATTTATTTTGTTTTTACAAAATAAAAAAATAATTTTTAACGATACAATAGTCTTCGTTAGGCTTAACATCAACTAAAATTCAACGCGAAGCGACACGCAACGGAGAAAAATTTCAACGCGGGATAAATTAATATATTTTTTTTCGTACATGATTCGTTATCCGTAAAATAAGTTATCCGAACCATTCCAGTCCCCAATTGATTCGGATAAACGACGCTCTACTGTATTTGATTTGTAATCAGAAAGGTTATCTTAGGTTATCACACCGAATGACCAAACATTTAAAAAAGTTTTAAATTGCGTACAGTAGAAAAATAAAGAATTTTAAAATATGATAGATTGGACACTCGGTGTGATAAACCCTTACATAAGATAACCTTTGTAGTTATATTAATCAAATACAGTAATATAGCAATTCAATCGAAAACCATATAAAGAGTTGGGTTATTTCAGCCTACCAATGTCACATTTGTCGCGATACTCGGATGGTACGAAAAGTCATAAATTCAATGGTCAAGTATACAGGAATTGAAAATATATGTTAAATTTTTCAGATATTATAATATATTCTAATATTAACTCTAAGAAACTTTCATTCACAGCCGAATATCGAACGAAAAAATCTGCCAACCAATCAAATTACCCAAAAACAGATTAAATATTTAGACTCAGCTTCCTCAAACATCACTTAAGTCATATTTCGTGCTGGACGATAAACTTTAATTATGCAATTTTTTTCTATTCCAATGCCATCATGCAACTTTTTCCTATCGGACAAGCTGTGCGGTAGCATTCGAATATGAAAATTGCATGATACGATTACCGGCAGTCAAAATACAGGGTAATTCAAAAGTCACAGAAATTTTAAAAAATTAATACTTCAAAAACTATTTACAGTAAGATGATGCGGTTTTCAAAGAAATGCTTAGAATGAAGCGGGATATTTTTAGGTGTCATAAAAATTTTAGTAGTACCAAAATTGTTGCATTTCTTGCCATAGACGGCGATTGGTGAGGTTACATAATTTGTGAACAAATTATGTAACCTTACTTTAACAAATTTACAAATGATTTCACCATCTATGGCAAGAAATGTAACTATTTTGGTAGTAAAATTTTTATGACACCTAAAAAAATCACGCTTCTTTCTAAGCATTTCTCTGAAAATCGCTTAAATAGTATATGGATTATTAATGTTTTTAAATTTCTTTGACTTTTTAATCACCCTGTACATTTTAATTAACTGGTTCTACAGGGTGCCGAGTTTAATACTTCTCCAATTTTTCGCAAAATTTGATTCGTTGGTAGATTATTATTTGGTATTCTGCTGTAAATGAAACAGCTTGTTACAACTAACATTAGAAAAAAATACGATATCTTATAAATTTAATATAATGTATTTTCTATTGCTGTAATAAACCCTTACGTAAGATAAACTTTGTGGCGATATAAATCATACACTATAATATAATATAATAGAGGATTAGAAGTACGAATAATAATCTGATAATGTTAANCTTCCTAATTGCTCGTGAAGTAACATCACCTTACTCTTAAGGCACCATGTTCTTTTTGAAATGTTTAATCTAACATATTTAAAACTTTTCTAAATGTTATATATATATAGGCCTACACCTACACACTATTACAAAGGAAATTGTAACAATAATTATAATCAGTTCTAAAGCAATTCTTGTGAACAAACCAAAAACGAATTGGATTTCTTCCAAATTACTAACTGACTAATTACTTTCAAATAAGGAAAATATTCATTTATATTTTTAATTAACTAAAGGGAAAATTTTGCAGCTTTGCGTGTGAGTTTATATAATTAATGTTTTATTTTACATTAATTATACAAACTCGACTTTTAAATATAAAGCTGGAAAATTTTTCTTTTGGTTAAATAAAAATATAAATGAATATTTTCCTTATTTATCCTTATTTTGCTATCACAAATTTAATAATTTAATATAACCGCTGTTATCTAACTTATTCTTTCTGATACATTTTCAGAATTATCTTTTCATATATAAGTATCGGAACATAATACCGTATCTTTTAAAATTTATCAAATATTATTACTTTCCCGTCTCTGCTATATATATAACAAAGGAAAATTTAGCGATTGGTCAAAAAATTAACGGAGAAGATTGCTGAATATTAGGAATTGGGACGCATTGAAACATCAAGGAACACGAAACATTTCGGGTTTTTTTTTTAGTATATATGGATGTTAATGTATGTGTTTATGTGTGTGTGTGACACGATTTAGTTTACCCAATTTGATGCTTTATAAGTCCTGTGCTTTTGAAGAACATTTCTGAAATTTTGCGGGGAGGTTCCCTTATTAGAGGCATTGATGCTGTTAAGGATCGAACGGAAGTATTTACAAACTTTTATCGCATAGTTTCACATGTTCTATATGATGTGGATTTTATAACTTCGTTGAGAGTACTTTAACTGCCCTTATTCTTTTAAACGTAATAACAAAGACGTTTTGAAAGAGTACAACAATCACAGCACCAGTAGACCGGTTTGATTTTTTATAAGATGAAACACTAGACTTTTCCTTGTATATATCGATAATAAATAAAGTTTAGTGAATGTCTCCTTCAGAAAATTAAACGTAAATACACCTTAAAGCAATTCTTGAAAACAACTAAGGAAAATTTAAATTTACACGAAACTTTATGTATTTTATAATAGATTCCAACTAAAGGAAATTCAAGGACACGTTCGCATTCAATCTTAAATATTCGTATAAAATATATATTAAAATTCTTTAAAATTATCCTTACTAGTTAATTACATCTTAGTTGAAAAATCATTTCTAAACTTAGGGTCTACTCACACGAATGAAATTGCAAGTTTTTACTCTAATTTATTATAACAATAAATTTAATTAGGAAATGAATATCAAATATTGACAATTTCATAAAGAATAAATTATTAGACAAAATTTAACTAATGTATTTTGCAACATTACACCCAGGGCTACGGCATTTGGCATTAAACACGAACTTAATTGTGGTACCATTTGGATAACTCTGTTACAAATATAAAAATAACAGAAAACACTTTCTATTAATATAATAGATATTATATATTATAATTTAACTTTTCATAGTAATAAGGGCAGTTTTCTACGAATTTATTACTTCGCCAAAGAAAAAAATTTTCAATTTTGGCGCCTGTTCGTCTCGGTGCCCTGGGGACATGCTCCCTCTGCCACTGCCTTTCCGGGACCCTGATTACACCATATAAATTTAATGCCGATAATAACTTGTTGTGTGGCAATCCTATGAAATTTATATTACTTTTATTTCTAATTTAAACGTCAACAGAGTGAAGAAAGAAAAATATGCCGTGAGTAATATTTGGAGTAGGGTCGAAGTTAATGACGAATTTATTCGTTATTATAGTCTATAATATTTTTCAATTTTACAATAATAATCATAAGATGAGCCCATTAAGAAATAAAGACATGCAAATGATTTAATTGTATTTTTGCACATAAATTGCAGAAACTTTATGTTAAATAATCTGATATTGTGAGAGTTCTTCCAATGTTGTAATATTTGAAGTGTTTTTTTTTTATTATTGTCAAGTTTGATTTATAGTTTCCGGTGTGACGTATAACGTGAAGCTAATTATTTCTTGAAATAATTGGCTATGACAATTAAATAATTATTTTGCTATGACAAATAAATCAAAGTGTTAGATACGAAAAGACCATATTTATTATTTTAATCTGCAAAACAAGTTTTACTGAATTTTATCGGCACGTCATTGCATGACGTGCCGATAAAATTCACGAAAAAGTGCTGTATTATGCGAATCTGTGCTATACGAAAACACAGGACTAATGCAAAACATGGATTAACGTTTTAGAATTTAGCAAAAGTATACCATTCTTTTCAGTTACTAAGAGAAATATGTTTATTAAAGGAATCATTAATTTATTTGTAATGAATAAATAATTAACAATTAAAAGAACTGTATGACGCGATAATATTAATTTTAGTGAAAGGCGGGCATGTTATATTTAGAAAGTAGTCTTCTTCTCAGCTTTTTTTGTTGATTTTGATCAGAAGTATCAGCAATATTTTTATACTTTGATCGGCAAGATCCGCTCAATTGTCAATGGATGGCGAAATGAAAAATTGTCGTCGGGATTACAAGATCCTTCCAATGTCGGGACCTGACACAAGTTAAAATAGTAAAAGTTCGTGTCCTATCTCGCGAACAAAAATAAACGTTAAGTGGGCGTGCTAGTTCGACTTTCGAGTGGGGAGCGTTATGAATAAGTCAATAGGGTGTCTTCGTATATCGGAAGTCCAACAAGGCTCGTTTAACAAGTAAAACAATTAGTACATGGAAGTACTAAGCCTATATACGATTTCCGAGTTCGTCTTCGTTCACAGTGCATTTTCGGAGCGATATCAACTACCTAAACGCTTGTAACTTAAAGTGACTGAGTACATATACCGAAGCGAGAAAACGAGTTTACAACCGAGAGTATAATAACTGGTAACGCTATGGATCCGGATCATGTTCATTCGATTTGGGTAAGATCTGGCCAATGAAAACTAAACAATAATCGATTCGAAGGTTTCGTATTTCTTTCGATTGTTTTAAATTTCCTCCTTAAAGAAAACTTAAGTGTCAACTTTCTCACATATATGCGATAATTTCGCGGGTAAATGAGAGGGGGGGAGGAGAAAGAACTTGTTGACAGTTAAACCGGTGGGAAAAGGACCGTTAAAAAGGAAACTTTTTAGCTATAATTTTTATAGAAAGACAGCCACTGTAACCACATTTTTATCATAAAAATTTCTACGGATGACAAAATGAAAATATATTATTAATGGAAAATTTGTTCTTGCGAGTTGCGTCTGTTTACTCCAGTACCGAGTGACCTTTTTCCAGAATTTATTCCAGTATCGAGATATCGTTGCATTTCATTCGTCATTTCTACGAATGAAGTAATCATTCGTACGTAACTACGATTAAAAAAGTTTAATAACACTTACCTAAAATGTTTAAATAAATTTTACGAAAGACGAAATTTAATCTATAAAAGAAATAAACACATGACAGCCGTAAAGGCTAAAGTCTGAAAACCACGACAACAATACCTGGTTGATAGGAAAGAAAATCCGTGGGCAAATTTCAGACAATACGCGTGCTTACTTGAATAAAAACGTATCGAATAATGGAGTTTTCTCTTAAAAATTGTGAAATTTTGTACGAGGTATTCCAAAATCGTGTAAGAGTGAAACCAGAAGTATTGCTGACCCGAAAACTTTACATAATATTTAAACTGCGTTAGAACAAAACTGTATTGTACGATGGATACCTATAACTTACATGTAAAACTCGAATAATTCGAAATTAGATAATTCGACGTCGCTTTTATTTCGCCCGTTGGATTTCGAACTATCGAGGATTTTCTCTATATCCAGATATGTAGTTTTTGATTTTTTCAATTTTTAATTCGGATTGGATTTGCACGTCTGTTTTATTTACTATTATATTCATTAATTGTGGCATTATCAAAAAATTCATTTGCTCGTTCTATGATATTATTACTTTTATTTACTTGAATTAGGCTCAAATTTCAGATCTATAAATGCCGACTGTTGTATGCATGTACAGTACGTCTGATTTCCTTCAGTCTTGACAACAGAGTAAGATAGATAAAAATCGAGACCACATAACGGGTAGGAGGCCCGGCTAGCTATATAGATACGTCCAATGCAAATTGAAAGTCACTTGATTTTAATTAAAACATTTTTCCCCAAAAGAAGTTAGACAGATGATTGGTACGACTCGATTTCTAGCAGGAAACGTGTGATGTACAGGGCCAACACGCTACTAATTAGATTTTACTTCATTTATTTAATTGATTTCATAATACTCTATATTAGAGTTTTATTGTAATATCTTTAAGAATTTCAGATTTTTATCAATGGAGTATGACAAGACAAATATTTTAGGAAAAAAATGCGCTTATGGTAGAACAAAATTTTCCCTCTGACTTAACATGGGGATGACATTTGACCCCTGATATGTTCCGTTCTAAGTCGAATTTAAAAATTCAGCTTCTGCTACGAAAGGATTATGTTTCTTCTGTTAACGCGGAAAACTTCGTTCGAATCGGATAAGTAATTACTTCACAAAATACATTTCAGCGATTTGTCAATTTCATTCGTTTCCAAGAAAGCTTACTCCATTCGTTCGCTGGCGCTTCAATAATTTCCTTTTTAAAAACTACAATGATACATTTAGCTTTCACGAAACATTTAAATAAATTTCAATAATTATTCTATGTCCTCTGTTTAATACGCTCGGAAAATTTCTCAGTTAGCAATCAAAACAATTTTGTTACGAAGAAAAACTTACAGTTTTCTTTATTTTCAAATCACAACACTCCATCAACTTGCCTAATTCCTATTTATAGTATTTTCCAATGAACTATGCTCTTGTCTAACAATGTGAGCTGTTTCTAAAGGTTTAAAATTCTTACCGATATAGACATTTGTACTAAAGACACGTTTCAAGAATCCGAAGATTCTGTGTTGGCATATATTCAAATTATTTATTACTTTTCCTTCGGAATGACTTACGTATATTAAATTACTTAATTCATTATAAAATTTGGAAAGTTTAAATATTATATTTCTTTCAATAACGTATTAATATGTCTGGAATGCAAAGTGTACAGAAGTATAATTTTCAATGACATAGAATTATAGCAATTCTTATTGGATTACTGTAATTCTATCCCATAGGAAATTGGTGAAATATAAGTTTTGTCTTATTAGTGGTGATGGAACAAACCAAAAATGGATTCAAAAATCTCCCTCGAACAGAGATAAAATTTTTATTACATAGTTAATATACTGTTTTAAGAATACTTTTTGACAAAATAATTTCAAAACGTAAATTTAATGTTGTGGTAACGTGTAGAAGCGTTTTTATATCCACTAAAACTTTTAAATATGTTAAAAAGTTACTCTCAGTGTCACTATATTCAATATATTTACGTTTTTTCAGTGGAACAGAACATCTTTCAAGCATGAAAGTCGATTGTATTAAATGTATGTTAACCCGGATTTTCGAAAACCTAGGAGAAATTATTGCACGTCGACCCGTTTACTTTATAGTTTTACCTGTATTGCTTTCGTTTTCTCTTTCAATTGGAATCCTCAAATTATCACCAATCGAAGATATCGATGATTTAGTTGTTGCAGATAAAGGAAGAGCTATTAGCACGAAACTCTTTGTGGAAAAAATATTTCCCTTCAATTCTTCTGTATTCTATGATATGTTAAGATTAGCCGATCTTCCCGAGATGGCTATAATGTTCATTGTAAGAAAAGACATGGGAGACATGGGAGTAAAGGAAGTACTTGAAGAAATTAAGAAAGTGGATGAAACTATTAAAAATCTCACTGTTGTAATTGATGACGTTTCAATTGAATATCGCAATGTTTGTGGAATAGTTCGCGGAAACTGCTTCGAGAATCCTTTTTCCGTTCTGCTATCGGAAATAAATGATTTATTAACAAGAAGAAAAAAAATAAAATATCCTGTAGAGATGGACAAGTTAACCTTATCTTATAATGTTTATTCGTTAAATTTGGGAGGTGTGAAAACTGATAGACAAGAATGTGTCGAAAGTGTAAAAGCCATCAGATTATTTTATCCATTCGATATCACTATGAAGTGGAAGCAGAAATGGATTGAACAGTGGACTAAAACAGTTTATGACGAAATAGGAAATAGTCGCTTTCAGCATATTAAGATTTTCATTAATCCTTTCTGGTCCATTGAAGAGTATGCTGAAATTCTGTTTTCAAATCTACGACCGTTGATTGCTGCGGTAGTGATTTTCATCTCTGCTTTCTCCATGATCACATGCATGAGTATAAAATTAGTAAGAAGCAAACCTTGGTTAGGTGTTGCGAGTGTCGTATCAGCTGGCCTGGCAATAAGTGCATCCTTTGGATTAATGGGATTCTTCGGCACGAAAAACACATATTGGAATATTTGTATTCCGTTTTTAGTAATTGGTAGGTATTCTTTATTTGTAAGTAGTTTATAAATAAACATTTTCATTCATTATAATTGTTTTTGTTTGACAGTAACGGAGATCGATGATGCATTTGTTCTGATCGCCAATTGGAGAATTACCGATCCAAACGACAATGTTGTTAATCGTCTGCGTAATACGTACAGAGAAGCAGCAGTTTCCATCACTCTGACGTCACTCACCAATTTCTTGGCGTATTGCGTTGGAATGACGACTTCGTTTCCTCTTGTGAGAATATTCTGCTATTATTCTGCAACTTGCATATTCTTCACTTATGTTTTTCAGATAACATTTTTCNAATTTTAATTACGTTTTCGTTCGAAAATGTTTATCGGAAAACAAGTAGGATTGTCTTGAGTGTAAGTTACTGGAAAGAATAAAAAATGTATTATTGTTTCCATCACTCTGACGTCACTCACCAATTTCTTGGCGTATTGCGTTGGAATGACGACTTCGTTTCCTCTTGTGAGAATATTCTGCTATTATTCTGCAACTTGCATATTCTTCACTTATGTTTTTCAGATAACATTTTTTGGTGCTTGCATGGCGATTAGTGGATATCGAGAAGAGAAAGGCCTTCATCCGATTACTCTTCGATTATTTGGTAAGAATAAGTCATACTTTTGTAAATGAATATGAAATATAGTAACTAAATTTGATGCGAGGAATTTATGTATTATACATTTTGTTTTTATACAGTGTATATAAAATTTAAATTATGAATAGTATGTACGATGCTCTATAAGTCAGTAAACATTTAAAAAATCGATTTTTGATGCTTGGTAACGGGAGTAACTTGGAAATACAGTAGATCCTCGATTATCCGGACCTCTATTATCCGGATTTTCGATTATCCGGATTGTTCAAAATAAACAAAAATTTTAAAAATTTGCTCATTTGCACTTGGCGAATTATGATACTGTTTATGTACTGTACGTGATGGAATGAATAACTTTTTTTGTTTCAACAACGTCTCACTCAGCACAGTGGTCGTAAACTTTTAAATATATTTTGAGTCGTAATAAAAATATAACTTGACATACGTATTTATAAATAATTTATATTCAAATTACATCATTTCTATGACCAAGGGCGGCGTATGGGCAACGTGGGCCAGCACCTATGCCTCGCGGTCCGAAAGACCTCGCGCCTCGAAGGTTTATGCATTACTTAAAAGTCGTGAACGAGACGAAAAAGTTTTATTCGTCATAAAACGATAAATAGTTTGTCAAATTTTTATTCATAAAAATGCAGTTTCAACTGCTTTTTATTTTATAAAATCCGTCTTCTTGCGCCACCAGAGGGCCTTTTAAACAATAGGTAGTCTGTTAGCGCTGGTCAGTAGTAGACCAAATTCAATACGAACGTTTGTTTCTTGAAAATTTGATCACGATTTAAATACAGTATTTATTTTTAATATTACCGATACGTCATCGAAAAGAAAATGTGTTGTATTATCATTAAAAGACAAATTAAAGTATTTGTTTTTATTATCCGAATTTTTTCTTATCCGGACTACCTTCATCCCCAATTAGTCCGGATAATCGAGGTTCTACTGTACATAGAATCACGGGTTTCCAGACGTTTCAAAATTAGTTCTAATTATGTCTATCAGGTGATGTTTCAACACGTTGACTTCGCAGAGGTGTATTTTTTATGAACCTGCCACTATTACAGATCAACTGTTATTCTAACTTGGGGGGGAAAGAAAAGCCTTTCATGTTGTGACAATCATATAGGATGGCCGCCTCTCCCCGTTACTTCTCCTGTGAAACAATTGATACTGTCTTCGATTGAAAATAATCCAATGATAAGCCGACACTTTCAGAATTAATTATCACCGAAATCTGCAGACCCGGTGATTTTTCTTATCGGGCTACGAGAAGTAACAGATTTACAAAGATATTTAAGCGTTATTGGCTGTGTTAAAATATTCTATGCGATAAGAGGTATGAAGGATATCCTAAGAAATGTGGTTCCTTGCTCTCCATAATGTCGTTACTTGCTTTCATGTCATCTTGAGAATGAACTCCTCCATGTTATCTGCTTTGATGGATTTCTTTATGAGTTGAATTAAGTGGACATAATTGGAACTAATTTTGACACCGAAACTAAAGAAATATTCGCGATGCGTTCATTATTTTACTTTCTGAATTTTATCATTCAGGAATATGATTTCAACATCACAATGTCTAAAAAGATGCTTATATTACTAAAATATTTGATATATTTTATCAGTGAAAAGGGTGATATTTATTTGCAGAACCTGAACCTAATTCCTTGGAATCGAATGAATCAGAGGAAGAAATTTTCATGAAAATATTCAAGAATCAAGTCGGAAATATTCTTTCCTTTCCAATTACAAAAGTCGTTGTCATAATTTTATATTTTGCAAATTTGGGTCTTGGAATTTACGGTTGTTTTTCAATTAGACATGGAATAGATTGGCAGAATTTATTTCCTGACGATTCTTCTATCATGCAAGCTACTAACGTTCTGTGTAATTATTTTGAGGAATACGGATTTGCGTTGAATATAATTATTAATGAAACTTTGGATTACTCTGACATCACTGTACAGCAAAATATGGAGTCACTTATCGAAAGATTCCAATCTCATCCTCATATCTCTGATGAACGTTTCACCATTTCTTGGTTGAAATATTACAAGGAATTTCAGGAGCATCCCGTTGCTAAATATTCGTTGGCAGGTTACAACATGTCTGTGAAACAAGATTACTTGGATGGGTTGCGTAAAGTATTCTTGAGATTCAAAGGTGCCGACGAATTCTCTTCAGATATCGTCTTTAATGAAGACGAGTCTGACATAATATGCAGCCGATTTTTTGTTATAGCAAAAGATGTATCTGGCAGAGAAATGGAAATAAAATTTCTTGATGATATGTGGAAAATTGCGGAAGAGGCACCATTCACTGGCATAGTCCTGTATCGATTTTAATAGAACAGGGAATAATTATCATGGACATTGTAATGCAGATGTTTTGGGTTACATCGATACTAATACTTATTGTGTTTTTGTTGTTTATACCAAATGTAGTCTGCGCGTTTCTAGTAGCGATATCCCTTGTCTCCACCATAACAGAAACTTTGGGATTGATGACCTTATGGGATGTAAACGTAGATGTAGTTTCCATGATGAGTTTGATTCTCTGCGTAGGATTTTGTATAAATTATCTTGCCCATATTTCTTATGCGTTTTTTCGGTCAAATTTGAAAAATCCAAGCGAAAAGTTGAGAGATTCTCTTTACCATTTAGGTTATCCTATATTGCAAGGTACTTTATCGACTACTTTTGGAATATTATTTCTATACAAGGAAATGCACTTTATTTTTGTTCTCATAAAGATTGTATTTTTAATGACGTTGGAAACAGCATTCCATGCCATGGTGTTTATTCCGGTGGTTCTTTCGTTAATGCCATCGACTAATCGAAATGAAAATTTTAATTACGTTTTCGTTCGAAAATGTTTATCGGAAAACAAGTAGGATTGTCTTGAGTGTAAGTTACTGGAAAGAATAAAAAATGTATTATTTCAATTGATTCATATGTTACCTCTAAAGCTCGGAAACTCGTTAATCTGCAGATTAACTAGCTAATCTGCAGATTAACTAGCGTGATCCGTTAAAGTTGCTAAAATTGTTCTATTTCTGAAATTACCTAGGTAATGTGCAGATTATCTAGGTAATCTGCAAATTACCTACTAGGCACTCGGTAAAGTGAAAATAAAGTCTTTGCTGAAACAACAGCAACGTTTCTGTACGCTTAAATTAACATAATGTTCTTTATTTAATTTTCGATATCTAAAGAACCAAGTTAATACAATCAAACAATCGACAAATTAGTTGATAGAATCAATCATCAACCAATTAAAAAGACATACAAAAAATCAAACGGTTTAAAATATTAATACAATTAGGGAAATTATTATATAGATAACCACCTATGGAATTTCGGGACTTTGAGTATCTATCTGAACTGAGGGGACCGAGACGACTTCAACGATACCCTACTTTTGGACCGGAGACGAAAAATAATAAAGTTATCATACTTTTTCTGGTGATCGCATGATGTAATTGTGCAGTTAATGTTACCTATGGTGAGTAAAATGGCGGCTCGTCTCTGATTCCAGCAAACAGAAGAAAGGAAACAGTGGGGACGCACGTTCTGTCCTAACCTAACCTATTTTAATAAATTACCATAATTATTACCAACCAAATTATTAGAATAGGTTAGGTTAGGTTTGAACGTGCGTCCCCACTGTTTCCTTTCTTCTCTTTGCTGGAATCAGAGACGAGCCGCCATTTTACTCACCATAGGTAACATTATCCAATTGTGCTTACTTACTAGTGCAGTCTAAAGATTGGTGACACTTTGAATTTCATAGCAATTGGTTTCTGCGACAAGCACACCTATTTGTGGTACATTTATTTGTGGCAAAGATCTTATTTTCACTTTACCGAGTGCCTAGTAGGTAATGTGCGGATTACCTAGATACTCTGCACATTATCTAGGTAATTTGAGAAATGAAACAATTTTCACAACTTTAACGGATCACGCTAGTTAATCTGCAGATTAACGAGTTTCGAGCTTTAGCGGTAACACATATTCTAATTTTATATAAATCAATACCTTAATCATGTTTTAAAATATCATAAATATTTACTTTTTGTTTTTTATTGTAATAAATCTTTTTAATAGGTATATGTAATTTGTTATAAATTTTTAAATCTTATTACACCACAGTTTACAACAAAGACGTCTTAAAATTTATAGCAAATCTCATAAAGGTATTAAAAAGATTGATCTCTTAGAACAGTTTTAAATAATTGTTTATACTTTATATCAGTAAATATTATTCTAATAGTTTACTGAATCCTACCGGTTTTGCAAATTTGATATGTTCTTCTAAATGCACCACAGACCTAAGCATTCACAGTACTTTCCTAATTGGTCAAATAATACACTAGAGATTGACAACTGAGAAAGTATAATTATTATTTTCTGAGATTTTGCATAATCGTCGTATAATGTGCAAATGTTTATTGACAACATGCAGAACTTTTTGTCAAGATATGTATTATTTAATTATGTTTTCCTCAGTTTTTCTTGAAATAAATAAATGTACATCTATATGTATAAATGAAAATGTTTGCTTTGTTTGTTTGCTATACAATCCTAGGATGTTTGACCAATTGCTTCAAAATTCGGTAATTACATCTAAAAATTAAAAAATAAAACTATATAGCCTAAGTCTGAGTTTTTTTCTTATACAATGCAAACACACTATATTAGTTGATTGGGAAAAATTATTACGTTTACTAATATATGAAAATAGAATTCGACGTTTCAAAAAATATATTAAATGGGATGTTATAAGTCAAAGAACAGACTTAACTCGTCACTTTATTTTTGAATTCGCAGATAATTTAAACAGTGAATTAATATGAAAAAATTATATATGTACTACTACATTCATCGAAAAACATAGTAGACACTTAAAAATAAATTTAATTTCGGAACGGCAAATATTAGATGATGAATTTTTTGAAATACTGTATCTTAATTGAAATAAAATAACGAAATTTTAAATTTCCTCTGTTAATTTTAAGAAATATATACGTAAATTAAATATGAGAATTGTTTTAAAATATAAACGATTAAAAAATGATATTTTACGAGAGCTAAAAGATTGTCTACATTGGGATTTAGTTTCCCGTTCTGAAATACTGAACAAAGATTTTATTCCTGATTATAAAAATCACCTATTTTGGTGTTATGTTCTAAAATATCAAAAACTAGATCAAAAATATATTGCCGATAATTCACATACTTTATCTAAATATCAGGGCTGTGGAGTCGGAGTCGGAGTCGTCAAAATATCCGCCGACTCCGACTCCCTTTTACTTACCAACTTGTTACGTATATGAAACGGAGTCGGAGTCGGAGTCGGAGTCGGTAGATTTTTACGCAACTCCACAGCCCTGCTAAATATATAAAATACTTGTCCTGACTGACTCAGTGATTGATTCATCATCGCCCAAAGCAAACCGCTGAACTTAAAGGAGTGAAATTTGGTACATAGTTAGGGTACGTTATGAAAACGCACACTAAGAAGGGATTTTTCGAAATTCCCCCGCGGGGGGAGAGGGAGAGAATTAAGGATTAACCGGAAAAACGGCTTCTACTGTACTATTTTAGATGCGATTTTTTTGTTTTGAATTACGTTTAGTCTTCATTGAGTACTTAGGGGTATTAAATTGATAACATTTCAGACATTGTTATAAATATTTTTATATATTTCGATTTTTTAACCAAATGTTCGAACCGTTTTAAATTCGAATTTGTTATTGCATATTGGTTCGATTATAAAACGATTGTAAACGTTCCAGAAAATTGATCAAATTGAAAACATTTCCTTTGATTCTCACCCGGTAGGTGTTATATAACAATTACTATGGTTATTGAAATATTGAATATACTGTAAATGGAGTTTGCTTGCAAAATCCTCGCGGGCAAAGCTGCGGGTAACAGCTAGTAGATTATATATAAACAGAGAAAATATATTTAAAATTATTAGAAAATGCTTAGAAATATAACCGATAAATTCATAATATAAGTAACATTTAAAATATAGGGGGGGAACCGGGGCAAGATCGGCATGTTAAGCTTTACTTAAATTTTGTGTAATAAATACTGCTGTAAACTGAAAAAAAACTTTGCATATTGTCTATTGGAATGTTTTCTTACTATAGAACTGGTTAAAATCAGTTTGGAAATAAAAATAATTAAAATAATTACAACTTTACAAGAAGAGAGAAATTGACGAAGTTGCCCCGGGTATAGGGGCAAGATCGGCAACTTCTCTCTTTTTGTAAAGTTGTAATTATTTTAATTATTTTTATTAAAGTTGCCCCTGGTATAGGGGCAACAGTAATGG